CTTAGAATCGCGAAGGGAAGAGGAAAAGAGGAACGCCAAAGAATATATTACGTCGGGAAATGGAAGCCTATATGAAAAGGATGATTAACAACTGGAAAGAGCTGAAAAGGAATCCTCAGGACAGGTTTCGATGGAGAATGCTGGTGTGTGGCCTTTGCTCCTTTACGAGGAGTAACAGGTGTAAGTAAGTGAGTAACAAACGTTTAAGTAAGAATATTCGTTAATATTGGAACAATAAGCAGAGATGATGGTGGTCAGTACCGTAATCAAGGATGCATATTTCATCCTATTTGGGACTCGCCAACTCAATATAGATGCATTCGAGAGTTGATGTTCACCCAAGGACTGATCCGAGGATCAGCCGAGACTGATCATTTACAGTCCTGAACATCAATAAGAAGATTTAAGCAACCAATACAAAAATGAATAAGAACGAACAGTTTGACGAAAATTGTTCTCCAAGTAGTATAATGAAGACGTTATTTGTGAAGTTTATATTATAAGAATTCCAACGTTTCGTCCAGCAAACTTGTCTAGAATTCTTCAAGATAATAATCTGAATCAATATTATCAAAGAATATTCTTTAAGTAACTGCAAGGAATTTTATTTCGTTTTGCGATTCATATTTCACTGAACTCTACAGCAGTGTGCGTCCGCGACTTCGCCCGGGGGACTCGAACCCGGAGCATAACAGTTTCATTCGCGGTGTCTTAACCACCAGACCACTGAGCCGTTAACCAACGGTGTTAATGTCTAACTTCAACCAATCCACGAAATTGACCGACACATCAACCATTGTTTTTAGTGAGTTACTATCTCACAACAGACCCGGTTGAACTCTACTGGTCAATGCTTCTCACTAGAGCTACAGGATATACCTCTTGAAGCCAGTCACTAGTGAGCATATGTTGATTCATATCAGAAGGGTTTTTTTGTGGATATTATAGTCAATTGAAGCTAGACCACCAAGGAAAACCTGGAAGCACTGGGAGGTCATTTTACTTCATTTTTTAAGGAGGTTAAAAGTAATACGTTCATAAAGTGATTGTCACCGTAAATCTTCCAAAAATAATAACGAAAAACTACTTTATCATTATTTGATTATAGTCAACTTAAATTGTTCTATTTTAGTGTGACTTTAATGGTATCACAATTGCAATTGATCGATCAATCAATCAATCAATCAATCAATCAATCAATCAATCAATTAGTTTTAACCTTTTACCAATTGATAAATAACACAATATTGAAGTAGTTAGGTCGTAACCTATGCCAAAGTTTATCATTATTAAAACAACATATATAAGTGAACACTATTGTTATCGATTAGATCCTCATCAGGCTTCACTCTAATATACAGTAGTGTATTTATTATGCATATGAGAAATTAATTAAACCAATCAAGGCTGTTTATGAATCAATGATGATAACAGTGGAATAGATTACATAAATGAATAATAATAAGTGAGTAAGTACAAATTGATAGTGTGATGACATTAACGGGTAGGAGGAAACCTGTCTTCCAGAAGTTGCAATTCAATCGAGATATGACCGGTGAAGAAAATGTTTAATTCAGTCAACCTCCGTCTATCGTAATGGACACAATCTATGGTGATTCCCCAATTAAATGATAAGTTACCTAGTTATGCCAGTTCAAAGTGTATCTAAGAATTCGGCCGCTCCTGTAGAGAAAGTTATATTGGAAGCACTACCAGACAACTGTGCCAATGAGTTAGTGAACATCTCCCTTCTTGGTTAAGAAAACGTACTGTCAAGACAATACACAGCTCGGTTCTATCACACTTGATCGATAGCGGTCATGTAGTGCATAGAAACAAGTCATTTAATGTTATTTATCGTATTCCCACTAGTTTTCCTTATGGGATTCGATCTCGTCTCTTACAGATAGTAGAAGCTATATTAATTCGAGGCAACAATCCAAGTCTTTGTGCTCATAAGAAATTTGTAGCATCTTTATCTCTCACTTGGCTTGAATAAATGATTTTGTTTATTATTATTATTATTTTCCATACTCTTTCTTCGTTTATTTTTCTTCAGCTCCTCCTACCATTTTTGTTTGTTTTCCCAAATATACGTTTCACGGTTCAATTATCTGAATACTTCTTATTACGCAATCTTATAATAATGTTTATGAATGTTATTTCAGTGTATAAATTTTTTTCTAATCAGTGACCTATTTTCTATTATATAACATTGATTTGAGCCTATATTATTCTTAACTTACGTCTCAACAGAGTACTTAATTACATACTTACGCTTGTTAATCCTAATGGAGCATAGGCCGCCGACTAGCATTCTCCAACACACTCTGTCCTAGGCCTTCCTTTCTCGTTCTATCCAATTGTTCTTCATTGTTCTCCTGTCTGTCTACGTTTCTCGGCATAATGTGTTCTTTGGTTTTCCTCTTCTCCGTTGGCCTTGATGATTCCATGTGAGGGCTTGACTTATGATGCAGTTGAGTGCTTTCCTCAATGTTTGTTCTATCCACTTCCAACACGTCTTCCTGGTTTCTCCCTCCACTGGAATCTGGTTTATTCTCTGCCACAGTATGTTCTTGCTAATGGTGTCTGACCAACGGATCCGAAGTATTTTGCATAGACAGCTATTAATAAACACTTGTATCTTCTGGATGATGGCTTTCGTAGTGCTCTATGTTTCCTCTCCATATAGCAGAACTGTTTTGACATTTTTATTGAAAATTCTGACCTTGGCGTTGGTTGACAGACAGTTGTTTTGAATTCCAGATGTTCTTCAATTGTGGATATGTTGCTCTTGCTTTGCCGATCGGCGCCTTCACATCTGCATCCGATCCTTCGTGTTCATCAATGATTCCGCCCAGATATGTAAAGGTTCTTGCATTCTTAAAAGCTTTTTCGCTATGTGTGGTTCGATTGTTGTTTGCTGTGTTGTATTGGAGAATCTTGTATTTCCCTCTGTGTATATCGAGACCTACTGTTGCTGAGGCTGCATTTATACTGGTCGTCTTCTCCTGCATTTCTTCTTGTGTGTGCGATAGAATAGTCAGATCTTCTGCGAAGTCTAGATCATCCAGGTGCATCCTAGCTGTCCACCGTATCCCAGATGTTGACGTCTCCATAACCTTGTCGATCACCAAAAGAAAGAGAAAGAGTAGGAGTAAGCAACCTTGCCTGACGTCGGTCCTTACTTTGAATGAGTCTGTCAACTGTACTCCATGCACGATTTTGCAGTTTAGTCCATCATAGCAATTCCGTATAATGTTGACTATCTTCTCAGGAACGCTGTAATGTCGAAGAAGCCTCCATAGTGTCGTCCTTCCCACGCTATGAACTGCTTTCTCGTAGTCAATGAAGTTGATGTAGAGTGATGAATTCCATCCAATTGATTGTTTCCCAATGATCTGTAGTGTTGCTACTTGGTCGCTACATGATCGATTCTTACCGTATCCATCTTGTTGATCTCGAGGTTAGGCGTCTACAGAGTCCGTCATTCTGCTTGATTGGTTTAATTAATTTCTTATACACATATAAATACATTACTATATATTAGATTAAAGCCTAATGAGGATCCAAGTGGAAACAATATATTGTTCGCTTATATATACATATTTATCTTATTCTAAATCCCAATATTGGAATTTTTCAAATTTACCAAACAATGTCAAATTCATTAGTGAATGCTTTATTTTGATTGTCTATAAAAAATATTCACTATAATTATAGACTTTGAGTTGTAGAGTTTGATAAAGAAGTTATTAAAAACTCATTGTTCATTCAAATATTCTTTAGTTGTTCTTTTTTTAAAAAAAAATTCCACGACCACTTCTTAAACTGTTGCCAAGAAGAACAAAACCAAATAAAAATGATAAAAATTTGAATGAAAAAATAAAATACTTAATTATTACCGTAGTGAATAAGAACACCAAGTCATTCAGTCAGTGATCTTGAGTGGTGTTGGAAGGATGAGGGCGGTTGTCAATTCCCGATTGCCCACACCGTGGAAGGGTTTTTCTGGAGGTACATGAGAAGAAAATTGATTTAGAGTCAGTCTTAGTGACCTAAGAGCGTGACTGCAGTGCCCAAGAGACAACTGCATAAGGTCGGTCGCACACGACCTTTTTACGAGTAATTTTCGTGTTAGCTCCGTACTTGTTGAAACCTCACCACCGGAGACAGATATCCGTGGGATAAGGCGAGGTGTGCATTCTTAGAGTCGAATTTTTCTAACTCCACCCCTCCTTGTGGGAAGGCAGCATCGCTGTCATTCTGGTTGTCTGAAAGAATAAACCTCACTGCTGTCACACCCGTGTACAGTCAGCCGTAGGACTTCGCCTTCGGACCTTGGGTTTGTTGCTTTTAGTCTTACCGCTCTTCAACCGACCTGTCTGGCATGGTAGGACCTTGAGGAACGGTTGTTCCAGCCAGTATAGCTTGATTTTTTCATCACGATAGGCCAGCCCAATCAACATATCAAGATAGAAACAACGGTTGGAGGAACACCAAGTGGGGACAATCGAATGTTTTTGAGCATAAAACTACAGAACATCTTAATAAAATCTGAGAATCCTAGTCAACACTTCATTTGCAAAATGCTAATCAATTATCTCAGACTTTATTGTTCTTTCATTTCCACATCAATCAATCTCTGTTCTCATTCTCTTTTCTTCGATCTCCTTTAATCTTCTTCCATCAGGTATTTCACTTACGATTGATGTTACATACTACTTACATTTATCGACATCAGTAGCACATATCACACTACATGTGGTTTACGGAGAAAACAAAATAAACACTTAAAATATAAACTAAAGAAAAAAACAACAATATCAATGTATAAAAATAAACTACATTTCAATGTACAACAATGTTCATTGTAACCAATGGTTACATGAATCTGATAAAGTCGATTGACAACAATATATTTCATTTTTAACAGTTTCACTATTCAATTCAAGCAATTTACTTGATGATGAAAAACAATCTCCATTTTTTTACCATCGTTATGATGTAATAATAATTTTAGATATAAATAGACAAGACCATTTTACAGTTTTAGTATATAACCAAACACCAAACATTGGTCCAAACCAATATACAATAATATGATTCATTGGTTCAATATTACCAATACCCCATGATTGAATAAATGCATTAGCTGGATTTAAATACATACCTGTCCATTCAAGACCTAAATAAATAAAATAAATAAGTAAACATTAGTATACTTGAATAAGATATACTTTTTGTTTCTTTGTATTAATCAACAACATATGTCATCAATGACACTATTGATTATATGACATTGTAGTGTGTGCTACTTATACCGATATAAGTAGTATACAACGGTAGTTAGGAATAGAACGTTTGGCAGCAGAAGGTTAAGAAAATCGAGGAAGAAAGAATGGGAATAGAAAGCAGTTGGTATGGAAGTGCAGAGACAATAAAGTCTAAGATAATTGATGAACATTTTGTAGATCAAGTACTGCAGTATGGTTTTTCCATTTAATCAAATAATATAATCCGTTTTTCTCACCTGTGTTTTCCTTCAGTATAACAATTCTATCAGTTAATAGATAACTGTAAGTTTTTACGTATTAAAGAAGAACCAGACTAAACTTGAATGATATGTATACGCATATATTAAGGTTACTATTAAAGAGGTTAAAGTCGTTGAGCTTACCGTATGTATGACATCTTATTATGTAGGTGAAATTTTTAATACACTATACAACTTTATTACAGTTGATTGATCACTGTGTAATGACTAGTCTCGTGTATTTCAACTCCTTATCAGTACTGTTTGAATTCCATTGATTGAATTGCAATTTGGCTACTTGTCTGAATGAGTCGACATAGTGTGTAATGTGTTGAGATCTAAGGTGATAGTTTGAGGTAGTGGACAGAAAACACTGTTTGACCTAGGTTTCGTGTTATTTGGCGTTCGTCAGTAAGATGCACTTGTAATCTTGAGGAAATCGATGCTCCACGACGGGTTCGATCAATATGATATATTTATCATAAATATTAGAAACTTGTTATATCTAGAGCTTAGATTCTTAATAAACCGCGTATAACCTGAGCACTCGAACGCTAGAACACTCCAAAGTAGCAAAAGAGAAGACAGAAAACAAGCAAAAAGAAATGCTATTCCAAACAGTGTCAGTTATGCTACAAAACTATCAGGTATTTAAAGTTCATAGTGAAAAGGAAATCATCACTATAGCCCTGCAAACCGCATATAGGGAGTAAGTAGCATTTGTCCAATAGGGAAGCTCCACGTAGGGATTCTGGAATATTCTTCCAAAACATGAATGAATGGAAAATATTCGGCACTTTCTGAGTTTCTTACGGCTTCCTCGAGTTCACTCATGAACTTTCCTCACAAAAACAGTCTAATTATTAATGAACACAATTATTTCATCAGTTTGTTATCACTCTATCAGTTCTAAATAAGGAAACTTTCAGCTCGTTACAAATATAAATCAGGCGAGATCGAAAATCATATTACCGAGTTAGATAAATTTTGTGTATTCTTTTTGGTTGATTATAACATATCTATAAAAGTAGACGTACATCATTTGAATTACATATATCCTAAAGTGCATTCATAACACTGTGAACTGAGACTGAAGTTGATCATTCAGTCAGTCAGTCAGTCACTCTGTCCGTACCAGCGTAGAACTTTGCACGTACGTACATTAGTTCGAGTTGCCATCCCACATTAGCACAGAGATGCAGTTATCGATTCAAATCCCGTAGTGGTAGAGGTAGTAAAAGTTATTCAAGGAGTATAATACAGTGGAATAGATTTGGAAAGAAAAAAAATAAAGGGATATAAAGAATTCAGAAGATTAGAATTTAGGAGAACACAAAGAGTAGATGCCCCTGTGCCGTTACAAACGATTTTGAGCCATATCATTCAAGGTCTCTAACCATCGGTTGCTATAATCTCACGGATCACAACCAGATAGTCTACACCTACCAACATGGCTCGGTCCACTTGTCAGTGACTTCATAGATTTGTGCCATGTTTGGGTCTGGCCGCCCCTAGCTTTCTTACAACCAACTCCTATACCATTGAACATCGCATGTCGAGGCAGTCGGTGGTCGGGCATGCGTAACTCATTTCTTAGCCATCTCAACTGATTAAGTTTCACTACCTCATCAATTGATCTACCATCCTTACCTAGTACCCGTTTCCTAACAACTGCATTACTTACTCGGTGGTCCCAAGATATACGAGCAATGCTATGAAGACACTTACCTACGAATATCCTCTACTCTTACCGGCCATATTTCACTGCCATAAAGTAGGACAGAACAAACTGGTTAGTAGACGGATATCTCGCCTACGCCATAAATAACGCAAATTGGCAAAAGCTAGTCGAGTCTTCTGTATCCGTGCTGAGATTTCGTCAGACAACAGACCACAAGGGTTGATGAGACTCCCATGATAAGTGAAGCGATCGACACGCTCAACTACTTCACTCCCTATCATTAGTACGGGTATCGATGCAACCCAATCCTAAAGCAACATTTCGCATTTCGAGCGAAAGAATCACATGCCGAACATGCCTGCATTGTTGCTTATTGTGGTCAGAAGACTCTGCATCTTGTCAGCGTCTTCATCAACTAGAACTATACTTAACCAATACGTGTATATATATTGTGTAGAGAATATCAACATCATGTCTACTATCATGTAAATTACTGTTGATTTCATTATTGAAAATATATATTATTATATAATCAGACTAAATGTTTGTGAAATGAATTTTGAAAACTTTGCTTTATCTGAAAATTTCAATCATTATTTTTTTTTATAAATTTATGTAAGGTATAAATGTAAACCTTTAATTGGAATTCAGTTGCTAACCACATACTGAATATTACCCAAAACTTGTTATCAAACACTATATCTAGTCAATCCAATCAGAATACATATATCCGAATAGATATTTATCAAATGATTTATATCTGATGAGTGGGTTGGAGAATGCTGGTCGGCGGCCTATGCTCCATTGGGAGTAACAGGCGTAAGTAAGTAAGTAAGTAAGTTGTATCTGATAAATAAACTAGTGACACTATGGACACAATAACTCAGTGAATAATGTGTTAATGTTCAATGTGAAAAAAAAGAAGCTAAATCTGAATCACAGCGTCAACATCAATACTAAGACGCAGATATATTTAATTAATCAGTCCTAAATAAGACAAAATAGATATCTTGAATTTCGTTGTTAGCAACAAAAACAACACATTCTAAAACTATTTCTATTGTTTTCATATTCCTAGTGTGATATGTGTTACTTATGCGAACAGATATAAATAGTATGTAGTATGAATTGAAACTGCAATGTTTGCCAAAAGTGGAATGAAGTAAATAGGCGAGGGAGAAAACAGAAAGCATTTTTTTTGATGGAGTTTTGTTCTCTGAGCTGGATGGTTTGATCGTGGAGCTTTCATCGTTCTTCTGAACGACATCATCAGCACAAACTTCAGATAGAAGTGAAGTGTTCGAATTTCTCCATATGCGTTTCACAGCTTGTTCTGTGCACCTCGATGTTGATTGGTTCTTATTGACCTTAAATTTGTCATTGTTTACCTTTTTGTCTTGGCTTGGTCTCCTATTGGTTTGATTCTTGTTCCTATATTTGTGCATAAGTTTCCTGATTGGTTGATAAATCGGATCGATTTCAATATGTTTGTTGATTGCTGATTGACCTGAGTGCCAGGCTTCTAAAAATTCTCTTGTGTTTTTAGAATTTCCTCTGTCCACGATTTCCACATTTTTCCAATCGAATGTGTGTCCGCAGTTGTCCACGTGTATTGATATAAGTGAGGAGATATCATGCCGTTTGACTGCTAATTGATGTTCATGTAAGCGCATGTGAAGGGGGCGTCCGCTTTGTCCGATGTAGTGTTTGTCGCAGTTGACACAATTTATTTTGTAGATGATGTTCGATTTATCTTCTTTTGTTATTTCATCCTTTGGTTTGCATAGGATTGACTGTATTGATTTTGTCGGTTTGTGTGCCACATCTATCCCGAAGGTTTTTAGCAGTCTTGTTGCGGTTTCTGATATGCCATGTATGTATGGTAGGGTGATCCGTTTGTTGATTTTTGTGTTTGATTTGTGCTCCACCATCACAGGAAACATTCAAAATAACAATAGGATTGGACAAATGATGAAGTATATAAGGCATAACTCAAGGAAGATATGTAAATGATGTATTTATTGTATGATTACCATATTTTGTATAGACACTGTGTAATTTTCCACTAAACAATACATTAGTTGTCCTGCTAAGTCTCCGGCTGTTAAGCTTGTAGTTGAATAGACCCAAAAAGCATCAAATATATTGTTCATTATCACTGTTATTTCACAATCTTGTCTGATATCTTCAAATGCCAAGTTCTACTATTTAGAGAAAGTACATACAAACGCGTATAGAATTCAAGTTAACCTTTCGTGAATTCAGTTTTTTGAGTCATTTAGTTTAGACGAAAATTTACCTAATGGTAACAATACTTTAAATAATTTTTTCTGGTTAGCGTTTTCTTAGCGAGTTAGTTTTCTACGGGATTGGGTCGCAAACCCGATGTCCAACTCTCCTCCTTTATCCGGGCTTGGGGCCGGCAGTAGCCCCAGAGGGGCTCCAAGTGAGTTGGAGAATGCGGATTAGTGGCCTATGCTCCATTGGGAGTAACAGGCGTATGTAAGTAAGTAACAATACTTTGACAGAGATGAGATATCATATCTGCTTCATAAGTGAAATTTGTGTTGAAAACAAAACACAACCATACTTCAAGACACTTGAATTGAAGTTACTGATTGATGAAAGTCATGTAAACTCCGGGACAAACTCCAGGGATTCAATTTTTCACTCATTTAAAAACCGAATATACCTTATTATCGTTGTTACAAATAATTAGTACTGTTTATAATTATATTAATATGTACCAGGCTTCAAAGCGCAGTAAACGTAAATTAAAGAAATCCTTCAATTTCAATAGGTTATAGATCAAAAAACTATTATTATTGAGCGCTGTTGAAATCATTGAATTCCATAGTTCATATAACTGATTGATCTTATCTAAACAAACATTGAAAGCCAGAAAGTACTAGCTAGTTGTTTCGCTCAAGTATAAGGCTCCTCAACGATCTTCATCCCTAACCCCACTAGGGATCAACTTCAAGACCACATGCGTGTCGGGAGACAGATAAATATCAGGAATTGAAATCAATGATGACTGGCAAATATATATACTTAATCGAAGATAAACAGGTAAACCACTTGTTGTCAGTCAAATGTTCTGAAGTTTAGGCACTCACTCAGACATACGATGGTCACGCGTTTGACCCCTGGTTGAACAATGGATACGCATCGTTGAGGACTTTGATACTAGGAAGGAACTGCCGTTTAGTGTCTTCTGGCTTTCAGTAGTTATCTGATTAACATGAGTCTATTATCTGAAGTATAAACATGATCATTGTAACTAACAAAAGTAAAATTGAGTCCATTGTAGTAATTATTTTGAATTTGAATAGATAATAACTGGTTTCTTAACCCTATGAATAAACAAGGATTTAGTGAGAGTACGCTATATTTTCAACATCATGGAACAAAAGTTGTTGCTCCAAATCAAGTTTTATTTACCAATATAATCTGTCAGGAAAAGGTGATATGACAAATCATTTGAAGAATATCGAATAGCTGAGCTTAGTCAACAAGAAGCTTTGATTCGCCCACATTAAGAGCTCATTGAAATTCGCCAGCAAGGCATATTTGAAATCACTAAAGAAACTGGTGATTCCTGTGGGATTCGAAGTCGCGTCATGCAGCTTTATAGTGCGTAAGGTTAAAAATAAGTTATTCTCGTTGTTACTAACCATCTTCAGGACCGATATATTTTTAATTGATTAATCAATAAGAAGCTACTAATGTCATGTTTTTAAGCTCTTTAGTGCTGATAGATCAACAATTCTTAATGTTAACACCTCAGACTGGGAAGCTGTGTTAAACAGGTCCCAATCCTACAGGAAAACATTGCAGGTGCACCTTGTTGACGAACGCTAAGTGAATAGTGATCTCCAACAACTGCCTAATATCTCAACATAGTATATTCTACGTCACGTCACTTAGCCTAATGTTAACATTTCAGCTTGATCGATCAATAGAATTTGATAACGTTTGAGGACTAGAAAAGGATGATAATAGTTACGGCGAGACTCTAATTTAGGGACGACCTTTGAACGAATTTTGAGTGACCTTGAGAATAATAGCCAATCAAAAGACACCTAGTATAACGTAGAAATATATTAGAAGAAACTAATGGATTACAGTGAATATACTTCTTTTACATGATTTAAAAACTTGTCAAGGTTTGCTAAAGTTTCAGATGTTTTGAAATGATATTGCATACGGTATAAAAAGTCATAAATTCCAAGTACCTGTCGAGTATATTTACGGAAATGCTACTTACACAATCCTACTTTATACTACGTCCCCTGTTGTATTTTCGCTTTCTCACTGCCGTTTCATCTGTCTGCGCGATACATCCTACTCCTCCGAATGATTGGTGTACAAGTGTTATTTTAGTTGCACGGCAGTACTCATACCACTGGACTGCTGAATTTTCATAAACAACTGCAAACGCCGCAGCCAGTGTTACTGGTGTATTTATTACCCAATTTGCAACTATTATCATAATCTGATTCAGTTTCAGTAGCAATCGAGCAAAGAAAGTCCCCGTTCTAGCAGACTTTCTCCTCCAACATGAAGGACAACGAAATATAATCTCACCACGGTTATTTGCACACTTTACTGCAGTCATTTGATAACCGCAGTCTCACGTACAAAAACTTTTTAGTAACCCTATCCCTTGTAGCCTCTCAATAATCATCCCTTCTCTAAAATCCGCTGTAAACCGATCATATGTGAGCATCAGGTGTTAAACTTGGCTCTGTGACCTTTAAACGGCTCAAACGCTTCTGATTGGCTCGTCCCTAAATTAGAGTCTCGCCATAGTTACTATTCAGTTATCGGTCAACAGTTATGTAACACATTTTATGACTTTCAGTCTAATTTTATAATAGTCTGCACATATGAAACAATAATAAATTAGTAAATTCATTATAATTGTAAAATACAACTTACCATAAGCTATCAATGTAAGAATAATCAATAATCTTACAATATAAGAAATAAGAAATTGTTTCCATGTTAAATCACAAGGATTCAACATTTGAGACATTGTAGAAGATGCTAATTGTGAATTATGTTTAAGACATTGTAAATTCCAACGTTTTAATATACATGAAAATAGACTATTCAAGTATAAATCTATAAACGTTACAACAGCTTCACATAAGAATCCAATACTTACTACAACTTGTAAATCTGAATTATAATTAATTAATGTTTGAGAATTTAACATTTTTAATGCTAATTTATAACGTGATGAATGGTAGATAGTTAGTTGTAATGACCACCAGTATATACATAATTTAAGAGCTATTGATGCAGATAAAAGTTGTAAAGTCCATGTGAAAATCATCCATATTGGTTGTGTTTGACCAAGTAGGAATCTTGAATATAGAGAAAACGATACAAATTATCATTATAAATTAGTATGAAAAACTGATTTCGGTTAGATAGTCACTGAAAATCAGGAATTATGATCCAGCTACTTTGTTCTAGTATATTACTTCACTGTTATATCCATTCAGAACCGCTTCAATGACCGAATCTAGAACCTTCAGGTCACACGACAAGCGCCTAAACATCAGACCACTTAGTTGATGTCTGATATTTTATGTTCTTAATTTTTATTCATTAGAGAAGTTGAAGAACTAAGTCGTGAGTTTGGTACTGTATAAGGTCGTGGACGTACACTACTGAAAAGTACCATACTTGAATGAAGCAGGTGTCTAATGGCATTCTACCTTTTAATGTTTAGTTGACCAGAGCTAGTTCATGACTTAAAACTTCATACTCAATAATTTCTACAATATCCTATAGTAAAATGTATCAAGGAGCTTTCAAGAAGGAATTTGATATTTTTATTATAACATCTCCACAAGACTCAACTACATTACAAAACAGCTCATCATCAAGTTGATAATTTTAGTTATCATTCCTTGTAGATAAGCAAATGTTCAGTTTCCTCGATTAATTGTGTGTCACTCCGTAGCTAAAAGGTTTTCTTTGGTTCGGCAACTCTATAGGTTTCATTATCACAAGAAGTTGTTCTTTCTGTAACCATTTCAGCCACTTATGAACATAAATGTGTTAACACCACTTTCCATAATATAATCGTAAAATGAGATGAAATTAAACAGATGAATCAAATGAATGTAGTAACGATGATAGCCAGAAATAGTGAGCATCAAGAATATGACATGCAATGACATGAAGAAGCGTATGTATAGAAGAATATTGTAATTGAAGATCTATAGGAAGATAAGGAGCAAATAGAGCTACAGAGTTGTGAAAGATTCTGAATGATGTCACCCCATTTTTCCAATCACTATTCGACATTATTGGATAGATTCCAATCAGGTAGTTTGCACCTAGAAACATGTCTCAGACCAACAGTTATTAACCTTATTGACCAATCTAAAGTTTCACGTTCTATTCAAATAGTGCTCTAGGAGCTACATATGTACAAGGGACTGAAAATCAAACTAATCTATAGTTACACTTCAATGAAATATTCTAATATTTAAGTGGTCTGGGTAACTATTTTGTTCCAGTTTAAACTCTTCATCAGTAAACATGTAGGCTATGTAAAATGAAACATTTCAGAAGATCACATGACCATCATCTAGTTCCATCTATCAAATCTGTTTCATTTCTTACCTGGCTGAAATCAATTGATAACGTGATTTACTTTCAAATGAACAATCTCCAATAACATTCTACTCTAATGATATCATTTCAGGGAATAAGACTGATACTTTTAAAATCTATAATTTGTATTTTTGTATATCACTTACAGTAATTAAGGATATTGGTGTACAACCGAATATCATGTGTACTAACTTAAGGAGATCTGTATTCAATGAAAAACAATTATGTATGATATCGAATTCAAGTTACATTATCTGAGAGTACACTAAAGAATTCTCCAAGTAACAAGCCCATGATTTCAAGATTTTCCAACAAGTGTGATACTACTGAAAAGGTTCAAACGTACACAATCTAGCTATCTATTACTTTCCGAATTCAATAGATCAGTAATCGATCCTACATATGGATTAAAATTATTTATTTAACTGAATTGAGCATAAATATTATCACCTGTACCACGGATTACAAGGACTTCCATAAGCATCAAATGAAACAAACAAACTTGAACGAATACAATTTAAAGCGATAGCAACTAGAAGACCCCAATAACCAAAAACTTCACGAACTATCCAACATTCTAAACTGCATGCACAAAGTTCAATTGTAGCCACAGCATCTAACAAGGCTAACAATAACTTTGGCTTTGAATAAAAATAATTGTATATTGGATTTATGAAATTTACGAATGGAAATTTAGCAAACAGCTTTGATATTACATTTAAGTTAATCAAACATTTTGTGGATTCTTGGGTCGTTTGAGAAGAAGTGACAGAGTTGAATAGCTGAAATAGAAACATAACAGTCAATAGTAATCAATTTTATTTCATTGTTAAATATGTATAAAGATCAAATAAATCTAAATAGTAAAATATATTTATTTCAATAGTATGGTATACCGAGCTACATATTTCATAAAGCAACTTAATGCATGCCAAAAGATGTTGGACTGAGACATATACGACTTCATTGATATAAATTCCAAAAAATACAATGAATCGTTACTTATTAACAGCACTAATCACTTGAGTTTCATAAAAGACAAATTGCAACCTGAAAATGTTAACGTATTATACTAAAAGATCAGATTAAAATGATTCACCTATTTTCTAGTTGAATCCACGAGTCCATTGAAGCTAGACCACCATGAGAAACCTAGAAGTACTGGACGGTCATTTCATTCTAGTATGGGACTCCTCAGCAGTGCGCAGCTACGATCCTGCCCAGCAAGATTCAAACCCAGGACCTATTGGTCTCGCGCTCAAACGCTTAACCTTTAGACCACTGAGTCGGTATCCAACGGTGTTAATGTCTAACTTCAACCAATCCATGAGGTTGAGCCACCGTCCACCATTGTTTTCAGTAAGTTATTATCTCATAACAGACCCGGTTGAACTCCACAGGTCACTGCTTCTCACTAGATCGTGGATATGCACTGCTGAGGAGTTCTATACTGGGATAAAACGGCCATCCAGTGTTTTCAGGTTTTCCATGGTGGTCTAGCTTCAATTAACTCATGAATTCAACTGTAAATGTCATTCAGTTGTCTCAGACTTGATTGTTCCTTCGTTTCCACATCAATCATTCTATGTTTTCGTTCTCTTTTCTTAGATCTTCTTAACTTTCTCTACCATCAGACATTTCACCTTCGATTGATGATACATACTACTTATATCTGTCGACATAAGTAGCACACATCAGAGTATTAAAAATTGCTAATATGATGCGTAATAATGGTATATTTTATAAAGTCAATTATATGACCATGTACACTTAACAGATAAACTTTAAAGTACATTATCACTGGAATAAGAACAAGTGATTATTGTTAGTAATTTAGAGAATCAAACAAATATATTTGCCTCTTTTGTTCGTGACTTGTAAACAACTAAGCAAAAGTTATTATTTAACTAAATTCAATATAGTATAGCTTAAGGAGAAGAAATGAAACTCGATGTATCAGGATCAACAAGACTAGTTTTACATTATGCAATTTTTACTCTGAAATCATTGATAATGACTTGATCATTGTTCTCATCTAAAATGTTACCACATCCGACACAGTTCAATCATATACGTGGTAACTCATTTAATTCTTTTTCTTATGGACAAAAGTTTTTACTTTCTCACAATTTTATATGATGACTTCTTACGTCTTTCATAGTAACCTCAATAAGGTGATCAGCTCACGTGATTGAATGAATATAAATATACGTACATGCTGTCGTTTATTGATTGATGTGATTTTTTGATAGAAATGTGTCTTACACGAGGCAAAACTCACTTTAGTATACTTGATTTAGCCATAAACCCTATTTGGCTGCTTAATTACAATCAAATCAGTATATTTACTTACTTACACCTGTTACTCCTCGTGAAGGAGCATAGGCCGCTCACCAGCATTCTCCATCCAACCCTGTCCTGGCCAATCCTTTCAAGCTCTTTCCAGTTCTTATTCATCCTTTTCATATCTGCTTCTATTTCCCGATGTAATGTGTTCTTTGGCCTTCCTCTTTTCCGCTTCCCTTCAGGATTCCAAGTTAGCGCTTGTCTCGTAATGCAGTTTGATGATTTCCTCAATGTATGTCCTATCCATTTCCATCGTCTTTTCCTAATTTCCTCTTCAGCTGGAAGTTGGTTTGTTCTCTCCCACAAAAGGCTGTTGCTCATGGTATCCGGCCAATGGAAGTTGAGTGTCATGCGTAGACAGCTATTAATAAATACCTGTACCTTCTTGATGGTGGTTGTTGTAGTTCTCCAAGTTTCAGCTCCGTACAGTGGAACTGCCTTGACGTTGGTATTGAAGATTCTGACTTTGATATTGGTTGAAAGTTGTTTTGAGTTCCATATGTTCTTCAGTTGAAGGAATGCCGCTCTAGCTTTGCCAATCCTCGCCTTGACGTCTGCATCTGAACCTCCTTGTTTATCGACGATGCTTCCCAAAATCAGTATATAGGACAGTTAATTTCCAGCTTCTGAGTGTCAGGTTTAAATCCATGACAATTAATTGGAATTTAGAAATCTTAGCAATACTACTGGCACTAATCAAACTACAGTGTCATTCATAGTTGTATAGAATAATTTTTACTTTTACATATTAGTAAACAAATGATCTCAGGGCGAGACCGTATTATATAGATGAACCAATCAGATTGATAAAAACAGGTCTTAGATTTTGATGCGAAATTCATTCATCCATTTGGCTAAATAGGGTAATGGAATTATAGCTGATGTCAGTACATGATGAAGACCCTTAATCTAATTCCTAATCCTAACCATCAATTATATATTATAATTCTAATTCCTTACATTGGTTTATAAGCCTCATTTAGCTCTAGTAAATAAGTAAACACTTTCAAGGTCATTTTAGCGTCACTCAAAGGTCATCCATAAATTATCGTCTCAACGAACAAAGTTTATTTTATTTGTTTTAAATGTGAAATCGTAAGACAAGAACTATTTTTAAAAAAAATAATAATAAAATGTTATAAAATAAAACCAATCTATGTCAAGTTACCCAAAGTAATACATTTCTTAATAACCATGACAATAGAGTGATTATTGTCCAAAATAAAGCCACAAATAGTGTAGTTGCCATGATACTGGTATACATTGATCCTACCATTTTAATTGACTCATTTGATTTATTCATAAATGTTATATCTGTCAAGAAATAAAATTTTAAGGTTAAACTAAATCATTACAGTAATAAACATTAATTTAGAGAGCTAAATTAGAATTGGTTCTAAAATAAGAATATTTATGAGGATAAATGTATAATTAGAATGGGGTTCTGCGGAGATTGTAGTAATTTAATAATTGAATTGATGAATCGATTAAAGCTAGACCACCATGGAAAAGCTAGAAGTACTGGATGACCGTTTCATTCTACTATGAGACTCTTCAGCAATATGGATCCACGATCCCGCCCCTCGAGATTAGAAACCGGGACCTATCAGTCTCGCACGCGAACACTTAACCTCTAGACCACTGAGTTGGTATCCAACGGTGTTAATTTTTAACTTCAACCAATCTACGAAATAGCGCCTCCGTCCACCGTTGAATTAAGTGACTTAATGGACTCATGAATTCAATTATTAAACTACTACAATCTCCACAAAACCCATCTCTGATTATAATCATCGTATGCTCACTAGTGACTGTCTACAAGAGTTATTTCTTGGAGTTCTAGTGAGAAGCTGTGACCAGTGGAGTTCAACCGGGTATTCACTTAAGACATTAGTGTATAGTGACGTAATTTCGTTGATTGGTTGAAGTTAGACATTGACACCGTTGGATACCAGCTCAACGGTCTAGAGGGAGAGCGTTAACGCACAAAACCGATAGGTCCTGTGTTCGCGTCCCCCATGCAGGGTCGTGAATGTGCACTGGTAAGGAGTTACATACTAGGATGAAACGGCCATCCAGTGCTTTCAGGTTTTCCATGGTGGTCTAGCTTCAATTGACTCATGAATTGAATAATTAAATAAATCTATAATGTTAGTGACTTTCTGTTTTACATAGTTGTTCAAAATGAAGTTATCATCCACTAAACCGCTAAATATAAACTTTTTGAGCTAAAAATGTTTAGTATTTCTTGAAGATACCGATCATCCCTCAGATTTGCTAATTTTTACAGCAATTTCTATGGAGCTTTAGTCATATAGCACAAATTAGAACTAAATAACTGTTATATTCACATCACTTATTACATGTACTTGAAAAACGAGGAAGCATTACAATTTCCACGACACAAAGTAAAGACAAAGAAGACTGGTAGAAGTGAAGATTTATTTCCCTTCAGAACATGAAGATGATCTTAGTCGAAACTACATTCATTTATATATTGATTTCTACAATCTTTTGAATAATAATATTAATACACAGCATTATAACAAATCATGTGTTGTATATCACGTTGACCATAGAATACGTAAATTTAATACAAAGAATATCTTATCCTTAATAAACATCATACTGATATAAATCAATGTAATATTTTTGTGTTGTTCATTTGTACTATTTAAACATAGATTGATTTTGATTTGGTTACTTAGTTATTATGGAAGCTTCTTCGACACTACGGCGTGCCTCAGAAGATAGTCAATATCATACAGAATTCCTATGATGGATTAAACTGCAAGATCGTTCATGGAGGACAGTTGACAAAGTCGTTCGAAGTAAAGACCGGTGTCAGGCAAGGTTGCTTACTCTCACCCTTTCTCTTTCTCCTGGTGATCGACTGGATCATGAAGACATCAACATCTGAAGGGAAGCACGGGATACAGTGGATAGCTAGGATGCAATTGGATGATCTAGACTTCGCAGATGATCTGGCTCTTCTATCGCACACACAACAACAAATGCAGGAGAAGACAACCAGTGTAGCTGCAGCCTCAGCAGCAATAGGTCTCAATATACACAAATGGAAAAGCAAGATTCTTCGATACAACACAACATGTACCAATCCAATCACAATTGACGGAGAAGCTTTGGAAGATGTAAAAACCTTTACATATTTGGGTAGTATCATCGATGAACACGGTGGATCTGATGCAGATGTGAAGGCACGGATTGGCAAAGCAAGAGCAGCATATCTACAACTGAAGAATATCTGGAACTCAAAACAATTAGCAACCAACACCAAAGTCAGAATTTTCAATACAAATGTCAAGACAGTTCTACTGTATGGCGCGGAAACCTGGAGAACTACGAAATCCATCGTCCAAAAGATACAGGTGTTTATTAACAGTTGTCTACGCAAAATACTTCGGATCCGTTGGCCGGACACTATTAGCAACAACCTACTGTGGGAGAGAACAAATCAGATCCCAGTGAAGGAAGAAATCAGGAAGAAGCGCTGGAAGTGGATAGGACACACATTGGGGGAAAGCACCGAACTGCGTCACAAGACAAGCCCTCATATGGAACCCTCAAGGTCGAAGGAAGAGAGGAAGATCAAAGAATACATTACGCCGAGAAATGGAGATAGATATGAGAAAAATGAACAAGAATTGGATGGAACTTGAAAAGAAGGCCCAGGACAGAGTGGGTTGGAGAATGCTGGTCGGCGGCCTATGCTCCATTGGGAGTAACAGGCGTAAGTAAGTAAGTAAGTACTTAGTTATTCTCTGAAGAAGTATCCCACACTGAGTTACGAAACGTCCAAGATATTACAAATATGTTCTCTTATTTATATCAATCTATTCAATGCTCAGTTTATTCGAATTTATCAAGTTAAACCTTGGTAATGATATCCGAAAAAATCAATATAATAGTGCATCAAATAGTACAATGAAAAAACCAAACGGATATTAGATTGAATAATCATCATATTGAATTACAAAAGAAAGAAAACAGAAGTAATGTTGAACAAGTATTACAATAAGTTAACAACTTAATTTAGTGAGACTGTAATTTATGAACGAATCAATCATGTATAAGATAACAGATCTCGGATTTTGGCGCAAAATTCACTCATACATTTGAATAAATGACGTTTTAGCATCATATGTGATGTCAGTTCGTGATAAAAACCACAAAAATCTAATTTCTAACCTAAACTACTAACTGTAAATCACAATTCTAATCCTTCACACTGGTTTATAACCCTCACTTAGTTCTGGTTATAAGGTGAACAGTCTCAAAGTCAGTCTGGCGTCGTTCAAAGGTCGTCCATAAATTATAGTCTCACTCTTAATTTTTTACCTCACAATATTACGATGTAACTATCAATTTCATCGATTGTACTAATGATAATTTTACAATATTTTACCTTAAACTTGTAAATTAGATTCAGATTTATATTAATCAGTTTTTAGGTTTTTTCTGGGTAAATGAACTAAGTCTAGTAATAATAAACAAATAAATATTTCAATAATAGAAATGTAAAGAAAACTTGTTAGATTACAGTAGTCTAATATGTATATATATATAAGTAAATGTGGTCATTCAACAAAAAGAAGAATAAAGCTATAATTGGTTTCTATTTAAAGTATTGAGCATTATAAAATTAGATTTGCTGTGATGGATTTAAGTTATTCAATATAACCGTATGAGATAGGATTGTTTTATAATGTTTTGTCTACAAATGCCAAATTTGAGCTAGATCATTAGCTTTTCTTTATTAGTTGGTAAAATTAGTTGATATAACTAGCATTTAATCAAACTAATGATGTTGATCTTTATTAGCTTATGTACTATAATTATTGGGCTACTAACGTAGACATTAATCTTTATTCTATTCCTGAAGATTTTTTGACGATCAAGAAGAGTATTTTTCAAATGAATTCGAAGAAGCTTACAAGTGAAAATAAATAACGATGAACACTTTTACAACTTTATTTGATCTATTTAAACACTAGTAATTGCCAAGGATTTTTGTTCAGGTCGCCTCTTTATTTTTCTGTACACCTTTTGAAATGTAACAGTAATTGCCAAGGGTAATAAGCACATTTTACATACACTGCTGATTGTTCTCACTATATTAGCTACCATATCAACAGATTACTAATACAGTTGTTGTATACACATATAGTTCGTGCTTTATAACATCTTCTTAGCAACCATACATTAGTACTTAGGGATACATTCCAAAATTTCGAATTATCTTTACCACATCATAACTCTCAAGCACATTTTGGACTGTATGACAAGCAAATTTTGATAACTCGCATAAAACTTTTTAATAACTCATATATTCATCTCATATATTATTTACCTGCTATGTTTTCTTAATAGCATTGGCTTTCACAAGACTAGCAAAGTGCCTTTCCAAACTCCTTTACAATGAGAACCTAAAACGTATGAATCTTCTTCTCTTATCTTAGCTTAAAACGCAAGGTGACCTTATTTTGTCATTCATTATGTTTAATAGCTAAATAAGTGTTAAAAAATTTTATCTTTCTGTTTTCTCCACAACTAAACTTTCCCGAAGCCAAAGGAAGAAGGTTCAAAAGCCGCAATCTGTCAAACTCAAAGACCGGTTCCGTTCTTCTTACCGAACGGTCAATGCCAGGAACGCCTCATCCGAGAATCTTGTATCAGCATGTGGTGTTTGTATAAACTAACAATTTTTTATACTCAGAATTTGCCTGATTTTGAATTCTAAGTACCACAGGTTTTTTCGTGCTCACCTTGTTCTTTCTGGCTTAAATTGTGCTATCCCGGGAATTTAAATACTTTCAATTATTACATTGGAATCATTATGGAGCTTGTGATAGGACTGTTGAACATGTATTCAAATTCTGAGGTTTTCAAAGAATTCATGGAAAGGTTGGAAATTGGAAGCATGACTAGGAAAGATGTGAAGGACAACATAACTGTCTCTCATTTCCTCACACTCATTGAGAAGAATGCCTACCGCTCAATAAAATCTTTGGCATTTTCAGAAAAGTTTATTTCACTTGCTTATGCAGCTCTCAAAGAACTACTACTAAATCATGTAAAGTGTACTAGTTTCGAATGTTGTGAGAAACGAAAACCCTTATGAAATAATTTTTCAGAATAACCAGAAGTTTAGGGACTTTATCCTTGCATTGCAAAAGCAAGTTTTCAAATGCAGGTTTGGTGATCAACTTCCTGTGCAGCTGTAGGATTGACTTATTGCAGGAATTAAAATGCCAGATCTGGAAAGAAGGCTGTTGAAAATGC